TCATTATTTTAGAAGTTATTCTATGATTTAAACTTTTCAATTTTTCTAAATAATCAAATTACATTTAATAATTCTTGCACTAAATTTTGTCTAGAATATGGGTCTCCATGTTTTAATCTTAAAGCATTCTTTATATCAAGCTATGTTTTTAAGTTAAAACGTGACCTAAGGAAGTTTTTTGGTTCATTGATTAATTTTGATTTAATCGCTGTTATAATATATTCTTTCTGTGGATTTTCGTCAGTATAATATATAATATAAAATTCTTCAATATTACTTATGAAATATTTTCAATATTGTTTTTCGCCCCCGAAAGGCTTAAGTAACTGTACAATAGATTTTAAATTATCACCCATGGTTCTTGTTTGATGATTATTTTTTCGTAATGAATTATTATTACTTGGATTATATATATGAGTTAAGTTGGATTGGGTTAAGAGGTTCTGTATTTCCTCTTCAGAATCTGACATGTATGTTTTGAATAAACATATTATACATAGAAAGATAGAAAAATAAAAAATACTTTTTCTAATTGCTATAGTGACAACGGAAAACATTTGACAAACCGTGTGGGCATGCACTTAGGAATTGCATGTGTCCAACGTTGGCCACAGGACACGTTCGGGCTCCTGTCGGTAAAATTTACCCGTGTCAAAGGAACTTCCAACGTTGGAACCATCGTTCGTCACACGCCTACACGAGCGATCATGTGTTTGTCGCATTCTGAATCTGAATCTGACATGTATGTTTTGAATAAACATTATATAGGTACATAGATAGATAGAAAAATAAAATAGTTATTTTCCTAACAAGTGCGCAAAGTGATACTTTCCCGCACGAAAAAGCAGTTAGACGAACGACGCGAAGCGGAGTTCGGATAAGCTTTGAGTGCGGGAAAGACACTTTGCGCAAGTGTTAGGAACAATATTTGTTCTACAAGTATCTTAAAAAAGTAGACTTTGAATTGTTAAAATATTAGAAAAATTAATCAAATCAAAATCTTCAAAAATCGTTTAAAATCTATTGGAATTCCTCAGAATGTCTTTTAAATTAAATCCCCAAATATCTTTTCACATCTTCTTGAATTTCTAGAATCAGCAAGAATATTTTCATGAGAATCTCTTACGTATCAAAAATTTTACAAATTCCTAGCAGTACAGGCTGGTCCAATTTGGACACCTTTGATAGGAAACATCATGTTAACTAAGCGTTAATTTCAACTAAAACCCTTCATTTTGAATATTAGTTTATTCAGAAACCATCAAAACATTGAAAAATCAAGTATAACTATGGTAATTATGCGTAACAAAAATGAGTGCGCAAAGAGTTTCCGTGCGCAAAGTTCAACTTTGCGCACGCAAATGAGTGTGCAAAGTGATTACTTTGCGCGCGCAAGTAGAAAAAATACTTTTTCTAATTCCTATAGTGACAACGGAAAACAAAAGAATGATCAGTGGCCGAATCCTCGGGCCAGGGAGTAGAGGTCCCCGATAGAACGAATGTTTTGTCCTTGTCAACGTTATCGAAAAGCGAACAAGAATGATAAAGACGAAAAATTTGTTCTCTCGGGGAGCTCTACTCCCTGGCCCGAGGATCGGCCACCAGAGAGCTCCGCGCGGCGTATTTATGTGAAAATAATGTCTATACGCTGCAACTGTATGGGCGAAACCTTGAAATGACGGTACTTTTCCAGGCTCATATCCCTTACTCAGCAACTTTTTAATATCGTGGGCTTTTATAGAGGTGCATGCTTATGTTTAACATTAAAAAGGGAAAACAAAAAGTTTCTAGATTTTCACAATTTTATGTTATATGATGCCGTCACACGGTACTTTTTTCAGTTAATAGGTTATAGAGTGACGTCAATAATGGTTCATCAATTTATGTGCCTGGTTTATCAGTTGAATTTCTGGAGTAAATTGTAAATTCCAGATTAGGTACCTACCTCAATAATTATTGTGAGCATCTTGGTACGGAAGGTCGCATCGCGGAATCCAGTTTTTCATGATCGCCCGTTCATGATATAGGTTTACATGTGACAGAACCTAGTTTGAAAGTCATGCGGATTTCTTGGTGTTTTGAGAATATTTATCTTTATCACGTGGAAGCTCTACTCGAATTAACCTTCATATAAAAATCATTCAATATCATTAATTTAAACTCCTAGCTTGTATGATTTATATACACTATACGACTGTAACTTCAGTTTATATACTCAATGCACCATTCATGCAAAGTCCGTTCTAAGAAACTCCGAGCTGGCAGCCACTTTCCGTTCCTTGTTATACGCCACTGCTCCAAGTTTTGTTTTTCTTTTATAAACGCAGACTTCTTCCGGAAAAGTTTGTTAAAATAGCTGTTGATGTCGGTCTTGCTACCCGCTATTCTTGGAAAAAGGGAAAATAAAAGGAAATTACGCCACTTAACCAAGAGTTTTCTCAGTAAGTTTGCAGAGCTTGGAAATTCAATTCCGGATTGTGTGATTCTTGCGTTGTTTCGAATGAATTTTAAAATAATTTATCCCGGAATTTTAGGATTATAGATTACTGAAGCAATCCCATATAAGTCTAATTTAGCGTTATCCATTTAAACAACTCTATGGTTTATTCAACCATAACACCAGAATACACAATGCGCCAGATAAGCCTGGGTTTTATGGCACAAAGGGGCCTGTTAATCTTCCAGAGGCCCCCTATAAAGTTAGTTATTGCTGAGGGTTCTCCTAATAAAGTTTTCAGGCAAAACAATTTTGGCTCTCGGGATAAAACTACCCTAGTTTCAGGAAAGCAGTAATAAACTTTGTTTTTTCTTTCCAGTTAATCGGACTGCTAAAACAAAAGATTCATATTTCATCTCTGGTTTTCGTTATTTTATTTTTCTAAAATCTGTAATACTTGTGATTTTTTTACGTTTATTGATCAATGCTCAGTCAAAATGAGCGTGAAAAGCTCATTTACGTAAGTGTATGGGTTTTTAGGTATCTCTATCTGACACATTAAACTTGAGCATATATTTAAAAATTCTATCTGAATAAAAATAGTTTACTAAAACTACCAATTATTGAATATTGAATTTTTTTTTTCCTACGACCACATACGAAAATTACAAAATTCGCACTAGCTGGTTCTTTGGAAAGCGCTAAATATCACTCGCGTGCTGAAAGTACTTTCAATACTCGTGCTAAAAGTACTTTCAGCACACGCGTGGAAAATACTCTTGACATTATTTGTGATTGACATAACAATTTACTTTCAATACGTGGATTGAAAGTACTTTCAGCACGTCTGTTGAAAATGAAAAGAAATAAAATAAGAGAAAATTGATGGAAATTGGTTTCTGGTCGTAGGAAAAATGGTGTACATCAATCATAAGAAAGCGTCTTTCATACACTCGTGTGATTTTCGCACTCGGCTATCGCCTCGGGCGAAAAAACACTCGTGTGAAATTTGTCACTTTCTACACTCGTAATGTAATATACTATTTTTCATTCATACATTTAAAACGCACTTCTGGAAAAACCCTAAACAAAATCAAATTTTGGGACCGATCGCAGCTGGCCGAGGCAAGCTTGTGATCTCGCTAAATCTCTCCCATGAGTCCCATGGAGAATGAGGCAACTTATATATTTATTCAAGAAAATACTTCCTGCTCGCCGATCCTTGCTCGACCTATGAAATTTCAGTGCACAGTGGACAAATTTCACCTACCGGATAGATTTAATTTTGCAGATGCAATAAATTTCCTCGGAGAAGTGCTAGTACATCTCCGTCGCATAAAGGGACCGTCTACGTCTATTGTTTCCTTCTTTTTTGAAGGCATGCTAGAATCGTGGAATTCATCAAAAGCTCTAAGTATAGCTCATAATTTATTTTATTAGATTCAAGTACGAAATACCTATCAAATTCAATTTTTCCGCTTTGAAGCCAATTTATTGTCAATTGCTCTCATACGCCTCCCTAATTTCAAATCTAAATTGGCCAGGGGCGCGTTTACGAATTCAGGATGAGATGGCTTAGCTTATCCATCCCTCTTTTACCAAGGGTTAATGTGCCGATAAAACTGGGTTAGTCTTAATTTCATCAGAGATTGAAATATCTTATTTTGGTATAAGGATGTTTGGAATGCAAAGTGGAAAGGTTTATGTAAATATTGTATTTAGCCCCTTCCATCAGTGACATTCCTGAGTTGAGATGCCGAAATTTAGTATCACAAATTTGTCAATCTATTAAAAGCTATGCACCATCATCAAGCTTCTACTTGATTTATCTTTTCTGTTTTTAGCTTTATCCTGAATTTTGTAATAATGAATTCCTTGTGCCATTACCTTGGGTTTTCCAGATATATACAAAAAGGCAATTAAAAACAAGCCGCCTAACACCCTTCGAAAAAATAATGGCATCCGCCCACGCTGCGCTGAATATTTCCGTTAAATTTTAATTTCGGTTTTCATTAATATTGCAGATGGTTATTTTGAGAAGGGATTACGGCTTCAATCATTAAGGGTTTTCCTTATGGCAGCTATCGAAAACACGGGATGTTTTAATGATGAGGCTACCTTTACATCGAAAAATATAGGTAGATTTTTTTTTTTTCTGTTGAACGTGTATCAGTGATCCATATTATGATGTTTGATTAATGAACAATAATTATACTATACACTCAGCAATACCTGATTATAATATGTATAGGCAAAGGCCAATTTTTTTGTCAGAATCCATACCATAAATATTGAAAGAAATTAAAATTCCAGACGGATCCTTAACAATCCCTTCAAAGAATGTCTATGCCATCCATATAGACTTTTTTCGTTTGAAAATCCAATTTTACACATTCAGATTTACGCCCCAAGATGGTCGACGCGGCCTTAAATGGAACTCATTTGATAATCTGGGCCATTGACGTATTTTTATCGCACTAACCCAATAGATAGGTAACTATTGCAACATCACTTTAGCAGCCATAACAATGACTTAAAAATTACTCTTGAAAAAAATTCTTACCTGTCACTAGAAACTAAGATTATCTCAAAATTTGGTTCCCTTTTTCTTATCATCTTATACGCCTCTGCTAAATGGGGGGTAAATGCTTTACAGGGTGGACACTGAAAAAAAAAAAAGAATATGTAGATACCATTTAAAAAAAAAAAAACAGCAATCAAGACCCTTACCCAATGCGCTGAAAAATAGAACCCTCTTACACCGTCTGGTACATCGATGTATCTTATGTCCCCCTTGATGCCATTCGGGTGGTCTTGATAGTAGCTACCGCCAGGTTGAAGTACCACATCTTTAAGAACCTGAAATATGATTTTCCCCTTTATGGATTTTTAATATCGAGGAAAACCACCTATTTGAAATATTATTTCTTCAAATCTTAACTTTTTAAAACGTTTACTATAGAGAAGCAAATGGTAAATTTTGCAATCATGTATGCGCTGTGAAGTAGGGGCGAACGAGTACGGGCCATAAAAAGCGTACCGAAGGGTAGACAGAAAATGAGAGACCAGGGAAGAAGCTTGTCCGCCATTTTCGATTATTATTTTTTTTAATTCTGTGTATTAAACTTGATTGTTCGATCAAGTTTGTGTCTTGTGATTAGTTTGTGTCATAAGGATCATTCACAGGTCAGGTGAATATATGTTATTTTTCTTTCGAGAGTTTAATTTACACAAGTATTATTTTTTATTTGTAATCATATATGTAATCTTGTCATTGCTGACTTTTTAAAAATTTGGAAGTGACACTTTACTTCCCTCTTCGATTTCCCTCACCGATTTCCCTATTCGACTTCCCTCACCGATTTCCCTCACTCTAATTTATTTACCTTTGCTGGCAACAATGAGAACATGTCAGGTAAAAACGTCAAAGCAGTGAATGACACATTTTGGCATGTTTGTTTTATTTTTTTTAATATTGAAAAAATTGATTGACTAATCATAATTAATTGTGTGCTTGCAAATAAAATAGTATACAAACCTCGGAGGAAAGTTTTCATTTCTGTCTCGAGATTAATAGAGAGACTATATAAATCTCTCGACAGTAATGAAACACTTCCCTACTCGATATGTAATATACTATTCTCATTTTTATGTTTATTTTTTTTTTGTTTATAACATTTTTTGTGTGCATTGTTCATGTAGTTAACAGAAATAGTTTCATGCTGTGAACAACGCAGATAAAAAGTAAATTAAAACCTAGAAAAATTATGTGCCGTCTTTTGTGCTGAGATTTTAATTTTTGGTATTCAGAGCGTGCATTAGGACCTTGTTGATTCTACTAACACTTTCCTACCCTGACTGGGCGAATATACTCAAAATAACAACTATAGCTGAGTAGCTTCCCGAACGGGACCTCAGTACCTGCTGGTGAGAGTGGCTAACTAAACTAACCAAAAACTCTTCAGTATTGAATGCAGTGGGTGGCATTAAAATTTTAGTACGAGGACGGTAATTTAAACTTTTTTCTACTGAAGTTTCATAATACGTCTAAAATCTGTTTTTTTCATTATGATACAGATTTCTCAGCCACTGGAATCGAGTATTTTGAACATGAACAATGTTTATATAAAAATAACAGACTTGCTTTGGAATTTTGGATTGTTTCTATCAGTATTTACCAGGAGAAACAACAAAAAATTAATAAATCGGGTGCGGAATTTATGCCCAAATGACGTCTAGATCTTAATTTTTGAAGTTGTCAACAATTGTCACCAGTTGAGAAGTTTACTATTCTTATGCCCGTATTACATCTGTGTATTTTTCCGTGTATTTATTCATGTAAAGTCTGTTTTTTTTTTTAAAGATAATTCCCCATGTCAAAAATTTAGTAACTTTGTTGGCAACACAAGTCTTTTCTACATAAAAAATTTGAAAGCATTGACAATTTTACATTGTATTGCCAACATAATGTCATTCTGACTTTTATCTTTAAAAAAAAACAGATTTTAGTTCAGGGTGACAACCGGAAAAACTTCAAAGCGAATCAGTATTATGAAAAACAAAATAATGTTGGCACCCTGAACTACATGAATAAATACACGGAAAAATACACAGATGTAATACGGGCATAATAAAATAAATATGTTTTTCGTTTATTAATGCAAGTAGAAAAAATAGTGTATGCAACTCTCATGTAATGGCCATTAAAGGGGGTGTGCGCCAAAAATTAAAGTTTTAGTGTAAAAAAATCTAAGAATAACTGTTCAAATCTCGTTATTCTACGATAAACCATTGCCGAGATTTACCGCTTCAAAGAATGTGTGACGTCACGAGAGCTTCGTCCAGCCGCGCTCCGCATTGTTGATTTGATTGTTCCCGGCACGCGTCAGTGGTTTTTGTTTAGATTATTGCAGGCGACGCAGAAAAAAACATATGCAAATTCAATTTACTTCACTATCTCGTGAGTCGCTCGAGCTCTCGTGACGTCATAGGGTGAGATGCGGTACCTTCATAGAGCCATATCTTCGGTATAATTTGTCATAGAGGGGTGCGGTTTTCACTGTTATTCTTAGAATTTTTTTCTCTTTTTTTTGAGATGAAGTTATTTTTTTGGCGCACGCCCGCTTTAATACACTCGCATGTTACATCCTACAACATGCTCGTGTATTAATGGCTATCATTACATGATCATTGCATAATATACTATTATTGTCTCACAATTATTAATAAAATGATACAGTTTGTTTTAATTTTTGAGGAATTGAGATCGAGGGTTTGTCTGCCGTGCTCCTTTCCCCTCGTGACCTCCAGGTTGAGAACGTTACGATTTTTTTAAATAATAAATTAGACGTTCCACAAATTTTAAGTTTATTTTACATATCATAATTTTGTTATTGTCGGGCGCATTTCAAGTAAGTAAAATTGACTAAAGCCCGTATCACATCTGTGTATTTCTCCGTATATTTCTTTATGTAGTTCAGGGTGCGAACATTATTTTATTTTTCATAATCCTGATTTATGTCGCGTTTGAAGTTTTTCGGTTGTCACCCTGAACTACATGAAGGAATACACGGAAAAATACACAGATGTGATACGGGTTTAAGTTTCCACAACGTAGTTATTTGTTTTTCAGAATATTTGTTAAAAGAAGAGATGACAAAAATTCAAACCGTTCAATATTGCTGAACGAACGGTATGTTATACTACAATATTTCGAAATATAAGAAAAATGGACTTGACCCTAGAACGATATTGCTTACAAAAATTAGGTACCTACATAATATATATATATTTAGTTTTACTGATACGTTATTTTCGCCTGCTAATTTATAATTGGCTTATTAAATTCAGAACTGTTTCAATAAGGATGTTTTTCCGTAATTCCAACGGAATCCAGATTTTATCAGTGATTTGATTATGCTCTTCTCCAGTAGATAATTAACAATATTTATACTTAGACGAGTCGAACGTTTTTCTATGCAGCAAGGGTCATTCCGGAATAGCATTCAAAGTTTCATTAAAGCGGTAATTTCAGTATGATCATTAAAAATCAGATTGTGCGAGAACAGTACCCCCAGGACCAGCATCTCTTGAACTCTGCTTAACTCTGAATCCTCGACCTCAAATCAGAATGCAACTGATGCAATTTTTGTTCGAGAAAATGTCAAGCACTTACATTTACCAATATTAAGCTTTAATTTATTATCAGAGCAGAAAGCCGCGACTGCATGCAAATCAGTTTATAGACGCACACAATCTGCCCGATTCCGAACAATATTATACATTTTTAGGTCGTCTGCATAAAACAGGAAGTGAGATGATGTGATGTACTTTGAAATATCATTAACAAACATCACAAAAAGACGAGGCCCCAGGATTGAACCTTAGGAAACTCCAGAAGTAGGAGTAAAATAATCTGAAAATTTATCATTAAATTTCACAGCCTGATATATCCAGTTAGCTATGACTTGAGATACTCTATCAAGTTCCGATTCAAAAAGTAATTCTTAAATTTTTTAACAAGGACAGAGTGGTTAACCTTGTCGAATGCCTTGGCCAGGTCAGTATACAGGGTGTCCCCGTTCAACTGGTCAAAAATGCTAGGTTATATAGAGGAACCATAGGGAAGTAGTTTGAGATGGGACACCGATGGTCGGAAGGGCGTCGTTTCCAAAATACAGGGTGTTGAGATTTAAACAGCCTCCTTTCATATCATCTCAAGGGCTAACGCTTGGATGTTCAAATTTTCAGGGATTATTGACGCAGGAATGATACCTATTTGAAAATTCGTGTAATGCACCCAAATTTTCTACCTGGAGCCACCAGAAAAAAAAATAAAAAATCAAATTTGAAAAAAAAAGCAATCTGTTTCAAATTTTTAATTTTTTTTGGGGTAGTTCCAGGTAGAAAATGGGGGTGCATTATACGAATTTTGAAATATCATTCCTATATCAATATTCCCGGAAAAGGACCTCGCACCTTATATGAGATTTTGGCGATCGGTCGATTTTTTTCAAATTTTGATATGTTGTAGAGAATTTATTTCTTAACAACCTTCAAATGGGACGAAATCTTGTAGGAATTACAGTCTTTGAGATATGAGCGTTGTAAGATGAACTTTTTTGCAACTTTTTGTGTGGAGAGTATACGAAATGCTGGTGTTTATCAGTCAAAATACTGACAGATTCACATATTTTACGTCGCTAACAAATGTCAACATGGGCTAAGGCCGAGACTGCACTGGCGCCAACATTGACCCCAGTGCGGTCCCGGCCTTAGCCTATGTTGACATTAATTTGTTACTGACGTAAAATATGTGAACCTGTCAATATTTTGACTGAAAAACACCAGTAACACCAGTATTTCGTATGCTCTCCACACAAAAAGTAGCAAAAAAGTTCATCTTTCAACGCTCATATCTCAAAGACCTTAATACCTATAAGATTTCGTCCCATTTAAAGATTGTTAAGAATTAAATCCTCTACAACATATCAAAATTTGGAAAAAATTTACCGATCGCTGAAATCCTATATAAGGTGTGCAAAGTCCTTTGAACAGCCTAGCATTAGCCCTCCATATTACGATGTGAAAGGGGGTTGTTTAAATTTCAACACCCTGTATTTTGGAAACGACGCACTTCCGACCATCGGCATCGGTGTCCTATCTCAAATTACTTCTCTATGGTTCCTCTATATACCCTAGCATTTTTGATTTGTTGAACGGGGACACCCTGTATATAACATCCATTTGATTCCCAGATCCAAGATGATGAGCCACGTATTCGGTCATTATAGATAGATTAGTAACCGTAGACCTGTCCCGTATAAAATCATGCTGCTGAGGTGCAATAATACTTTTTC